TGTGGTCTGTGCATAAGCCTAGTCTAAGACATCTCAGGATTTGGGGTAGCCCAGCACATGTGTTGTAACGCCCCGTTATTTGAAAGATAAAATACCGAATATTTTTCTAAAAACCAGAGTTTATTTTTCGCAAATCATTTAAAAAAAATTGTGTAATGGGCATTACTTAATCTATCTCAATTTCGACTGACATTACAAAAGCTATTATTTCTGTCAAAACATTCAGAACATAAATAAATGTTTTAAAATAAACACGTTTCACTTAATCAATCTATAATTTAAACGTTCAAATTTGAATACAAATTCCAATAGAGTATACAAAAAATATAAATATAATTAAAGACGACCACGCCCGTCCTCTCGTGTCCGCCGCCAGCTCGATCAACCTGAAAAACAAAGGGGTGAGCACCGTCTCTCGGCTCAGTGGTAAAATTCATAATATGCATCGATTCAGTATAAACAAAGATAGAATAATAATTATATAAACACGTAAAGTATACTGTCTCACCACTGACTGATATCATCCCGGCTTCAAGCCTCCAGGTAAATTCGGACTAGTGACTCTTATTTCAAGCCTCCATAATTTACCCGGCTAATTAGCTATTATACGCCGTTAACCTATGTTCATGAACGTCGGTATGGTTACTTAATAGTGCATTCGACATCAACCGATCCCGCTAATAAATAACTCTACTAGTGCCATTGGCATTACCCAGTCCCGCTAGTAGATAACTTAACTGATAATTACCCGGCCTAGTGACTCTTATATCAAGCCGCCATGGTAAAAGTTCACATCACACATTAGGCCCCACCGGCCCACAATCATATGCATATAAAAACTATACTACCGCATGTTTATAAAGAATAAACCATAGTATAGAACCCCCACCTGATAACTGATGATGTGAGGAACAAGTGCAAATGAAGAGTAGCTGACGACACTCGAAACAATTCTCGAGATTCGACTCCTCGAAATCTCTTCTGAGAAGGTTCAAAAATAGGACTAGGCTCGGTCAGAGGTGACTCTCGAGTCTAGGGCTGAAAAGGGCTTTCACTGAGGCTCTCGGCTCTCGAATCTCGCAGACGGCAAAGCTCGACTCGCTCCAGTCGGGTTGGATTGGCTCTTGACTGACCGCAAGGTCGCTGCTTTAGCCAGAAATAGTTTGGGCCTCCTCGTCTGGACTCGGTGCGCTTGGGTACACCCAAATATCCTCACCGAAGGAAATACTCGGTCGCCAGCATTTGCTGACCTTCTCACCGTGGAGCTGGTGGCTCTCGGATGACAGGAGATCGGATCGTGGTTCGCCGCCAGAAGCTCGCTGGCCGAGAGGAAATTTTGAGGGAGTTCGATTAATTGAAGGCGACTCGATGCTTACTGCTTAAATAGGGGAAATTAGGGCTGCTAATGCCACTGTCAGATTTTTGGGGAAGACCGGATTCCATGGAGATCGGGCGTCGTGGTAACTGATGGTGGCAGATTGATGGCCGAGAGAAGAGGGGAGGTTCTGTTTGGCTGCGACCTGGTCGATATGATGGAGATGGGCTGAGACATTAAAGTCTCACTTAAGGCCTAACGAAATTAACGACTTGGGCCGAGACATGGAGGCCGATTCAAGGACTAAAATGGGCTGCTTAGACTTGGTCTTGGTTTGAAGGGCCCAATAGTGACTTAGGCTAAAAAAAAATGACTTAAGGAAATAGAAGGCAATCAGTAACTACACTAGCCCATGAAATATACTGAGGAAAATTATAACACTTAGGCACAAAATAGAATTTAATACTTAGGCAAGAAAAGACATAAAGCAAAAGCATATTAATCAGTTATTTAAATAGGCACATAATCAAAAATCACTTATGCACATATTCAAATAATTACATCGACACATAATCAAGTAGACACTTAGACAATTAGTCAATTAATTACTTAATCAAATAGTCAATTAAGCACTTAGACAAATAACTCATATAATCACATAATTTACTTAGGAAAATACTTCACATAATCACGTAATTCAATTAGATAAATAATTCACATAATCACATAATTCAATTAGGCAATTGATTCACATAATCACATAATTCAAACAAATAATTTACAGTTAGGCACAAAAATAACATTTAGGCAAATTTTGTACAACCAAACACTTAGACACATCAAGGAAATCAAGCACTTAAGAAAACAAAATTGACACTTAGCACACATAACACTTAAGCACAAAAGGTACAATTATGAATAAAATTCACTTAAGAGAATAATTCAATTATGCGATAAATCCACAATTAAGCATAAATAAATCACTCGGCATACAAGGCACAAACGAGATTCTAAATTAGTCGAGCGATAAAACGTTATAATTTAATAAAATGAAACGGGTCGTTACAATCTATCCTCCTTAAACGATTTGCGTCCTCGGAAATCAAAAGCTAAGCTCAAAAACTAAACTCAGGAATTTCGAATGAAATTTTTCTTTTCTCCACCAAGTAGTTCGCTCCCGCTTTGGCGACACTACTTGATTTAATCAAGAGTTACCTCTCAAATCAATAACTTATGTTGAGAAAACAACATCTAGCTCGCCTCGACTCTTCCGACTAAGAAAGTCGGCCGCCACGTTAGCTTTCCTCGGATGGTAGCTATTCGTGTCGACAGTCCTAGACGAGCTTAAACCACTTTCTTTGCTTGGACAGAGCGTAACGCTCCTCCTGCGACTCAACTTTCCCAGGATGAACAAAGACGTCATTGAGAAGCACGACGAGTAAATGGTCTTTTCAAAATACGCAAACTTCCCCAATTGATAGATTAAGTCCCAATTCTCGACTTGGGTACTTAAGGAACACACACTCCATTAACTTCACAAATGAAAACAATTAAGAACAAGTAGAAACAACTAAGGCACTTGGTCTTATAATCGAAGAAGAAAAATACAAAGTTCCAAACACAAATACTAAAATCCGAATGAATAAAGAAGAACAATAACTTTCAAGAGATTGCAATTAAACAAGACTAGATGACTACTTCCAATACTATTTGCCCACCCTCGTAGATCAATCTTGGTTTGGGTCATCCTCATTCTGGGCCAACATGTAGACACGTGCCCTTCCTCCTCCTCCAAGTCTCAACTGGTCATGTTGGGGTTGTTGTCGTGGTTATTGGTTCTGTTTCTGACCGCGCTCCGGACATTGCTTGGTAAAATGTCCCGGTTTC